AAGAAAATTATGGGAAAAAAAAGAAAGAAAATTAAAAAATAATAAAAAAAAGAAAAATTCTTAACAATATAATTTTATTTCTATGTTATCTTTTATTTTTTTTAATGATTGATAGTTTTCTTTTTAAAGTATTTGGTACAGGGTCTCACTACACAGCTTGGACTAGTAGTGATCCTCCTATTGTCAGCCTTCCCAGTTCTGAGATTACAGGCATGCACCACCACGCCCAGTCTTGGTGGCTGGCTCTGTGCACCTGGGGGTGGGGCCAGCATGGCATGTGGTGCCAGGGATTGAACCCCAGTCCTTGTGCTTGCCTAAGCAGTCACTTAGTCCTAATGCTGAGTTACCTTGCGAGCCCTTACAGTCTAATTTTAAAAAGAAATGAAAACTCTTCTGTATTCATTTATTAACATCTCCATAGTAGTGTTGATCCTTCCTCAGGTAGCATCCTTCTCAATTTCTCATAGTTTCTTGTCCCTTCTTGATTGTTTCTCATCTCCTTCACTTGCTCCTGTTTGTGCTAAGTGTGGGCATTCTGCAGTGCTTACTCCTGCACTTATGCAGCAGTTACTCCTGACTTCTTTTGGAAACTCAGCATAATGTTTTTGAGGGTCATCTAAGATGTGCATATTAGTAGCTAGAGATAACAATACTTGTTCCATTTATTTATTTTTTTACTTTCGAGATGGGGTCTCACTATGTAGTATTAGCTAGTGTTGAACTCATGGCAATCCTCCTGTCTCAGTATCCTGAGTGCTGGGATTATAGGCATGCACTGCCATGCCTGGCAGTTCCTTTTATTGTTTAAATTAATGGATTTGTTATTTTATAATTAATAGGTATTGTTAACATTTCTTAGTTTTAATTTCAAAAATGGTAAAAAATGACAATACAAGCCCATATTAAGAAAGATCCTTGGAGACCCCAGCAATTTTAATTTTTCTTTTGACATGATATTCATAACAAAGTTTACTTAAGTTTACTTTAAATGTTTCTAGGTATACACTTGACTAGCTGCAAATATACCAATAGTGTTATGTAACTATACACTTGTAGAATTAATTTTGAAAATTAGAAAAATTTGTAGCTCTTTCACATAAATGAAGTCACATAACATTGCCTGTTTGCATCTGTCTCATTCCCATCTGTTTTACAGCATATGTTGAAATTTTTGTTCCTGTTTTTATGTTGAATACTCCGTTTTATGTAGTCCTTTGTTTTTTGGACCAGGAATCAAACTTAGTCCCTTGTGCTTGCTGGGCAGGTGCTTAACCTGCTAGGATATCTCCTTGGCCTCATTTTATGTACTTAGCACATTTCAATTTATCTCCTCTTTACTCTTAGCTATAATAGCAATTAAAATGTACTGATAATCTAAATAACAGGTTTTACTAAATAGCAAATTTATGATATAGAATCTACATATGGGTAGAATGTGGATTATAGAGATCCTTTTCCATAATTCTTTAAAGATATAAGCAGTTTTCTAGTTCAGATAAGAATTTATTTATTTTTGAAATTTATTTTTTTTAATGTATTTAGTACAGGGTCTCACTATGCAGCTTGGACTCATAGTGATCCTCCTGGTTCAGCCTCCCCAGCACTAGGATTACAGATGTGTGCCACCACACCCAGTCTTGGTGGCCAGCTAGGTGGTGTTTGGTACGGGGATCCAACCTGGGTCCTTGTGCTTGCCTAGGCAGACACTTAGACCACTGAGCTATCTTTGTGGCCCCCATAATTTCTTTTTATAATCCAGAGAAGGAAAAACTCAGGCTGGTATTTGAAATTCTGAGTCATTATTTGAGGTAAGCTTTAGTCATTTAATTCTTGCTTTCTCCACAATGTTGACAGTTCTGGCTTTATAAAGGTTGATTTCATTGAACATAACTTTTAACTTCTTAGCTATTCAGTCCTGACATCATGTAATTTTACCCTGTTACTTGTATGGACCAAGAACAGTATCTGGTATATAGTAGGCATTTAAAAAATATTTATTAACCAACGAGTGTTGACAGATACAGAGTTATGAACACTTTTTTGTATTATTTTTGTGAGACATACCATCAAAGTCATCCATTAGATTTTGCTAGTGTAATTCTTACAAGAGTACTCTATTATTTTTGTTCCTCTCTAGAACAAAAACTAGACTTTTGCTGTTTGAAGTTTTAATACTCAAACATTTTCAGACCACGGTGGCAGTCTTTTAACCTGTATTAAGCCACAGAACCAAAGTGTGTGCACTTATTTCTTGGCTTTTGGCTGTGTGTCTGAATCAGATCATAACTATTTCTTTGCCTTTGGAATTGTGGTTTCTTGAACTAATTTGAGTGACGTAAAAGATGAGTCTTATTAGGCGTTTCCTCTTTTTGAAAAGTATACTTGGTATTTGATTATAAACAGATTTCTCCAAGGAAACGTTTCTCTGAGGTCTCACCTCATTATCTTAGAAGTGAAAACCTTCCTGGATGGTGATCCTTAGTTTATTTTATTATTAAGCTGTTACTCACATGCTTTTAAAATACTCCTGAAGCTTCTGAAGTAACATCATTCATATTCAGTTTTTCCTGACTACCAGACATTTTTCTTCAGGTTACTCTCCACCCACTTTGGGGACTGTGAATGCTTGCTTTTCCTTTTATTGGTTCTCTGTGGCAACTATGTACATGAATAAATGCCACATGCATGTGGTGTTGCTTGTCAGAGTGGAATTCTAAGACTTCCTCTTTACATAGAACAGTTGAACTTTTGTGCTTCTGGCCAAAGGATGGTCCTGGGTACAGTTCTACTTCCAGCTAATAATTATGGCAGAGATCAGGACACGTCGCTTTGCTGCTTGTGCAGTGAGGCCTCAGGATCTGCTCTCCCCAACTGGACAGGTATGGTTCAGAGATGACAGCTGCGGGGAAGGTAAATAAGCACAGTCCTCAAGTATTAATAGAGATATTTAAAAATTAATCTTGCCTACTCTTGGTACTATTGTCTTCATTCTTGGTCATTGAGATGTTATGTGCTTGTTTTATTTTTTGTATTTCGTAGTAGAATCTTAATACTTGTTTAATGGAAGATGTAAAGAATATGTGATAGTTTACATTAAGATATACGTGATAACTTTAAACTTACATTTAGATATATATGTGATAACTTTAAACTGTCAAATAGACTATTGAATAATTTATCCAGCTAACTAGTAGATTTAAATAATTATATTAAAAAATTATTAGCTCCTTAGGGCATATGCAATCAGATGAAATAATTCTGGCAAGATATGTATATCTATAAAATACTTGAAAATGTCTAAACTGAAAATAATTTTGTACTTCAATTTCTCCAGTTTTTACCTGATAGATTTCTAATTTAAATGATAAAACTTATTGAATGACCAGTTGGTGCAAAATGTTTTAATGAAATTAAACATTGTTTCATAATTACCTCAGAATTTGAGTTTAGTTTTATTTTAGATTTTAAAAAAAACAAACAGATTGTCATAAAGTATTTTTGCTACCTTTACAGATATAAGTAAAAGTCAGAGTGTTCTACTGTCTCACCTTAAGTCCGTGATCTGCCTTGGTATGAGTGATTAACTGGAAGCTTAGTTAACTTGCTGTCTAAGTTGCCTGAATACTCAGTAGTCATTTCACATTGTTCAAAAATAAAACATTCCCAGCCTACACACTTCCGGCGGGCACAGCACTTCTGAGTCATCCAGACATGTCGGTTTTAGCTGATGAGAAAAGCGGCAAAGCCTAGACCTACAGAGTAACGTGCTGACATCTACTTGTTCTCATCCCTCAGTCTTTTCTTTGATCTTGTTTTTGTCTTTGTTAGCTTGTTCTCTATTATGTTAAGTCTATATGATTTAATATGTGTATTTAACAGGTATATTTTTGGCCTCAGAAAAAATTGGGATTCTTTTTCTTTTAAAAAAGTTTTTCTTTTGTTTTGTGCTAATGGGTAGGACTGTGTTTCAGTGGATATCCTGTGCAGACAGATTATGCAGGAAATTGGCCCTTAGTTCCATGAGAACAAAACAGTGAGTGGGAAGAAAGAAGAAAGAAAGGAAGGAAGATCTTCTGACTCAACCAGAAAGCCAGCGAGGAAGGGGAATAAGGAATGAAAATTATTACTTTCCAAGTTGTGGTTCTTTTTAGTACTTTTGCCTCAAAAATGATTTTCATCCTTTATATATTACTTTGTGTGTTTGAGAAATATACAG